TAAATATTTTTGTAGCAGGCAAACTTATGAGCATTCCTATGTTTGAACATGGTGTTAGTTACGGACAAAGCAAGATAGGAGGTCCAGTAAAAGCTCGCTGTTTTGGTTCAGATCAAGGAGCCATTTTCCTAGTTGTGGTAACCCAGGTATCTCACTCTCTTTATGAGGGCTGAAATCTCCTAGTGGCCCTGCAGAGTAGGCTGAATCTTCTAATTAGCAAAAACACACCCTGTGCGCATTCAGTGGCATAAACACTAAATAGGCGATTGATAAGGTTAATTCCTGTGTCTGTCCTGCAATCTCTACTGGAGAGATTACACGTAAGACACGTATATAGACATATATAGATCGTACACAGCACTCACGACGGTCTCATGACTAGTTTCAAGACAATGACAATATAATAATCTCCTTTTTGTGGGTCTTGTGTCATAGTTCTAAAAATAAGAATATGTAGTAAAGGAAGTTAAGTACCGTACGTAACAAAAAACAACTAAGCATTGTTCTGATAGGACATATCCTGAGCAGTAGATAAGGCAAAGCATAACATTCATTATGTGCATTAAGGCATAACTCTTACTATATACAATTCCTCTCAGTTTCCTCCTTTCTGTCCCAACGGGACAACTAATATAAGCAACATCTCTTTACTTTCCAACCTCTGTGTGAGTTTAAGTACTCTTTTGCTAAATGTTCAGGCTAAATAACAATTCCAAAGCAATAGCACCGACTTTGTTTTCCTAAAGTTTCAGCAATAGAAACATTTAGCTACATGTTTCTATTGCTGAAAGAATGTTGCAGGCTTCTGATAGTTGTGGGAACGATCAAAAAACCTTGAGTGAAATCTGATCCTGAAATGGTGCAGGATCAGTGTCACTGACATTATTATTGGCTGTTCGGAAGTTTGAAGAAGTCTAATAACAACCAAAAATGAATTAAATTATCAAGCAGTAATAGTGAGATTCATACACAATGATTGCTTGATATAATTAAATAAATAAATAGAAATGTATTTAAAAAAAATAAAATTAGTGAAAAAGGTAAAAAATAAATAAAGTGTAAAAAATAAAAAAATGAGCGGGAGGCTATTCGGGCAGGCTTCCCGTTCAGGTGGAGGGAGCGGGGCATTAAATATCTTGGAGTGCATATGGCGCTACGAGAATCAGACGTTTACGAATTGAACTATGTGCAATTATTGGTGGAGATGCAGCATCGATTAAATAGTTGGGGCCTGAAAATGCATTTGTGGATGGGAAGGATGGAGTTGATTAAAATGGATATCTTACCAAGATTTATTTATCTATTTCAGACTATTCCGATTAATATTCCAAGCTCTTATTTTAGAACCTTGAGGGCAGCTATGATCAAATACGTGTGGATATCTACTTCACCACGATTAAGACATGGTATATTAGTAATGCAAAGACAGGATAGGGGAGCAGGTCTTCCACACATTGGGAAGCAGTTTTAACAGACTGGTTTTCCTCTACCAGAACCAAATTGTGGATATCTATTGAACATGCAGCTACTCCATTAATACTGACCTCGATCCCATGGATTCGTCCCTAGAAAATGCTGATCAAGGGGACTCCATCTCCATTGGTTTGGACAGTAATGAACATTTGGGACAGGACAATAAAGCTATATAATATATCAGACTATGAGGGACCTCTCTCCCCTATATTAAGTAATCCAGATTTCCCGGCAGGGTTGGCTTGCCAAAGTTTTTTAAAATGGACTGCTATAGAACCAGCCCCTATTATTCAAGCAATTTCAGATCATGGTATATATCCTTTATCTCTTCTGACCCCAGAAGGTGGTTACACATGGGGACAGTGGTATGTGTACTTTCAGCTAAAACATTTCATTACAGCTCCTTCGAGATTTAACCCCTTCGTGACTGACGACGTACAGTGTACGTCGCCAGCATCGGGGCTGTTTAACCTCTTAGGCGAGATATGACCCTCTTTGAGGACTTGTGTATGAACCAAAAGGAAAGCAAACATAAACTATCAATGATATACCACATTCTCTTAATCCAAGCATTCTCTGATAGACCGTTTTATGTGAGGGGATGGGGAACAGAATTGGGCTATAGGCTATCCAAAATGATTGTAAACAATCTTTTGTGTTAACATTTAACCCCTTCATGACTGAGGCCCTTTTTTCAATTTTTGCACCCATGTTATATTCCACATTTTAGGCCTGAAAATGGAAAAAAAAATGTAAAACCCCCCAACATTATATATTTTTTGAATGCCAAGACCCTATAATATTTCAAGCTATATCCAGAAACGGAATTTTAAGATATTGACAAGATGGTATAGATACCCCACTTTATTACATAAGATCTTCCCAAACATATCCGATCAATACTGGAGATGTGGAGTAGAGAGAGGTACTATGCTACATGTATGGTGGTCCTGTCAAGAAATTCAATCTTTCTGGGAAATGGTCTATAAAACAGGAGCTAATTTTATTAAGGTCCAGGGACTGCATACACCTGAGGTTGTGCTATTGACTATTATACCAGGACCAATTAAGGAAGTTAAGAAAGGCTTATTTAGATTTTTTTATTTGCTGCAAGAACTGTCATAGTGAGATATTGGAAGTCTCAAGATACACCTCAAATTAAATATTGGGTCAAAGAAATTAATATTTTAAGAAGGGTTGAAGAGTTAGTAGCGCGATCCCAGGACAGGTACCCACAATTTATGGTGACATGGAAACCATGGTTAGAGTCTGACATCACTACCATGTGCTTACCAGGAATGTGAGGCTCAGTTGCACGGCCATTGGAGGAGGGGAGAGGAATGAGGGAGGGGAGAGGAATGAGGAAAGGAAGAGATGAGACTGTGACTATTTTTTTCTTCTTTCCAATTCATCTTGTTTGTTGTTGTTTTTTTTATTTATATTTTTGGGGGTTTTTTTGGGTGGTTTAGGGATAGGAGGGAATTTCGGTTGTCGTTTTCCTTGTTTTTGTTTTATTTGAGACCCCAAAGGGGGAAGAATTATTTTAATACCAATGGGAAGGGAAATTTATAGTGGCTGTTTTAGGAAGAAGTTATGAATATGTTTCTCTTCTGTTTCTGATTGGGTTTCTCCCTGGGAGAGTCTTTTAACAGGATGTTTACATTTTTATATGTTTGTATTGTTATATATAAAAACAATTAAGAAATATTATACAAAAAAATAATAAAAATAAATGTAACAAATAAAAATGATACATTTATATATCTTTTTATACTATCATTAATATAAAAATGTACCCATTACAATGCAAATCTGCAGCTGAGCTGCAGATTTGTTTTTCACCCTAGGGGGTTAATTTTTTTAATTTAACCCCTTCAGGACAGTGATGTTCAAAATATGTGTGACAATTTCTAAAATCCTAGGGATGTGAGGTTTATCCAAATAAAGAACAAATAAATGAATGTATTTAATGCATTTTTTTAGCTGTGCTATTTTTTTAAAAAACAAAATACAATAAATCAAAACAGGGGAAAAAGTGTTTTCTTTAAGTTTTTTCGTAGAATTTAATAGTTTATTTGTCTTAAGTGAGGCGTTAGGTACACATATGTGAGATAAATATATAGCCCTATATGGTCACTAAAAAACAATATATAATATGTGTGGGTGCACTTTGTAAAAAAGTATGATATGGAAGAATCACATAGCAAAAATGTCAAAAGTGAATCAGTCATTAACGAACAAGCTCAGTCATGAAGGAGTAGTATCCATCCAAATACCCCTGGGAACCTTGAATACTTGTCTCGACCCCCGATAATCATTATTCTGTAATGTGGTAACTTTGACTTGCCTTCGCTGTATGGCCCACAATGATTGGAAAGTACATGCTTTCCATTTGACAAAGGCAGACATATTTTACCAACCACTAAAGGAGTTATACAACCCAGTTTGAAAATAAATCAATAAAGAACCTTTCCGATTTACAGTCTGCTGTTGTGGTTCCCATATAGTGGGCAACCAGTTAGCGGCTTTTTTTTTGGTTGCCATTTGCTTTGGTGTTGTATACTGTTCTTTGTAACACAATTTGCCTGCAAAAATATTGTATTCTTCCTCAGCATGTTGTATGGAATAAAGAAATGCTATTATGAAAGATCATTAACATTTAGCAGCTGGTAAATGCAAAGGCTACCTAAATAGATATACACTGAAAATAATGTTTAGGTAGGAACTCACACTCTATCACTGTTGCTACGTTTGCAGACCTCAAACTGAAAAGAAAATGGAATACTTTGTGTCCAGTTTAAGATCAACTGCATAATGTGATTAATGTTTTTAATATGAATACAATATTGCATTTTAGAATGTTTTATTTGAGGTGTGTTCAGCTAAGCCAATCATCTTTTCCTTTAATGTTATACTGTTAGAGTGGGGTGTGCAAAAGTTGGGAGCTGGAAAGCAATACATTAATTATTTTGAAGTTGTTTTACAGTTGTCCATATGTTTAATGTTAAATCCTCATGCCAAGCATGTAAAGCATTGGATAGATGAGGAGTCAGAAAACAGTAAACATTAATATTAGCAATTAAACTTTTTCGGCACTCCCAGTCTTCCATATATAAAGGAGCAGAATTGACGAAGAACATATTGTGAAGAACATCCACCAAGAAAAGTACTATTTGTCTGTAGCTCTACTGTAGCTCTTATCAGCACGTATTATCATGATTTACAGTGATCACTCCTCTGCTGGATCCTCTCATGGAAAATGCCATATTGGTAGCCATCTTTCTAAGACCTCAAACCACTATGGTGCTTGTCATGGAGGATCCTCAAGTAGCCATCATGGAGGAACCCACTTATCTCGTGCATCTCATCATGGAGGCTCACACATTTCCCTTCATGGAGGTTCCCATACTTCTCATCATGGAGGCTCCCACAGACTCCATTGCGGAGGTTCTCATAATACTCATCATTCTTCCAATGCCACCCACCATGGAAGTTCCCATAAAGTCCATCATGGCAATAACTATAGAGCCCCCAGTGTACATGGAGGGTCAGGAGGTAAAGGAATCTCCATCTCCAAGCATGCTCATGGAAGTGCTCACAGCAGCGGCCATGGAAGCAATTTTAGCCATCATGCTTTGTTTACCGTCAATGGGAAGGAAACCATGCAGCACCTGAATGATCGCTTGGCTTCCTATTTGGACAAAGTCCGCTCTCTGGAGCAAGAGAATGCCCAGCTTGAGAGAAATATCCAGGAGTGGTATGAGAGGAATCAGCCCAGCGCTTTACCCAACTTCAGCAGCTTCTTCAGGATTATTCAAGAGCTTCAAGGCCAGGTAAATACATTATTTCCTCTACATAAGTATGATAGAAATTTGGAAATTATTTTGACTGCAGAAATAATTTTTTTAACATGAACACCAGATCTATCCATATATATTAATTATATACAGCATTATAGATACCCACATATTTACAATATGAAAAGAGTTTAGCTTCTTTAACATATCCACTCAAATTTTCTGTCCTTGGAGAGCTGCATAGGGATAATCAAGAGTCTAGCTACTTCGCATTTCCTTGTGTTATATATAAAAGTTGTCAGCTGACACATGCAGTTATAAAGAAACTTGCATACTAGGTTATATCAAAGGAGGGATCAACTCATTTTCTTGGGAAGTGTTGATGTATGCCTGGCAAAATTCCAGCTTGTGTTTTAACCAATCTTAGACCTTTCCCATTTTTTTTTGCATTGCAATAGGTCATATCCAGTCCATTGCAATCCAACAGGTTGGATGTGACTTCATCATAATGTTTTCATCTGAAGTGCAGATATGGGAATGCATAGCAGAGCTCAAAACACTTTTTAGCATTTGCAAATATTAGTATAATTATTTAAGTAGACTGACCCTTTAAATCAAACCTACACTTTGATCATTCAGAACAAAGCAACAGGATTGATATAATCCCCCTTGACAGCATGTACTTACTTTCCTTCTCTTCCCTGCTTTGGCATTCCATGCTGGGGGTCAAAGATATACCTGTTACTTTCTGGTATGGAGGAGCCCTCCATCATAACCCTCTCCAGGGAGTGTCTAATTACTGTCTGTGCTTGCCAAACTCCTCTGCCCTTCCCTACATAACCTTATTGAAGCTGCTGGGGAAGGAGCAAAGGGGAGTTCTTCAGAATGTCACTTGAGTGACAGCTCTGAGTCTGTTGAGCCTGCAGACATCATATCCAAGATGGTGGCAACCAACAGCAGTCTCAGGGCTTTTGGATGTCTAGACAAGAGAAGATTGTACAGGTAAATAACATACATATAATATAAATGCATATATAATCTTATGGGAATATTGATGTTGAAAGCAGTAGTCTGGTAACGGACCTGTTTAAATACATATTCATATGGAATAGAGACTGAAAATGGCCATGTTACAATACCAAGCCATAATAGATATGCAGTAAACCTTCTCAACCAGTACAGAACAAAATTCAATTTAATACAATGTATGCATTTATCAATTGCAATAAATGTTTAACACATATGTTTTTCAGATTTCCTCAACTTCTTTGGACAATTCAAGGATTATATTACAAATAGACAATGCTCGTCTGGCAGCAGATGACTTCAGAAACAAGTAGGCCTTTCTATGTTTCATGCTTTTCATCTTTATTACTGTTTTGAAGCAATAGTATTCATTGCTTTGTCTTCCTTTTGTCACCAGGTATGAAATGGAACGCCAGCTGAGATGTAGTGTTGAGGCTGATGTGAATGGACTTCGTATACTCCTGGAAGAACTGAACCGGGACATATGTAATCTGCAGGCACAAGTAGGAAACCTTCAGGAGGAACTGCAGCAAATGAGGAGGAACCATGAGGAGGTGAGAAGCTTATTATCCTTTTCAAGCTGAACCAGAAATGTATTTTAGAATAAATAATTCATAATGTGTTGATACAGAGCAGGTGGAAACCAAACAGAAATCACTTTTAATTTAGGTTTATGTACCTTTCTAGAGACATATGTTGAAAATTATACAGTGACACCTTTGAAATCTCCTAATTTATAGAAGAAAATTCTTAATGGATCACAAAACTCATTGTGCACTGTAGAGAACTATTTAAAGATTCTGCTTTCAGTGTTAAACTTCTGTCCAGATTCTCTTTAATTTGACAACACAAAAGGAGGACCGAGCCTCAGATATATCTTCATCTTCTCCACCGTTGGTGCAGTTAGACTTATTATTTAGGTTGTACTCAAGTGTCCCCATTCCAGCCAGATTTTGGCAGTGCAACCTTGTCAGTGTCAGCTCAGATTAAGTCTTGAATATGAAATTGTAATTTTAAATGTCATTTTAAGACCATGTGACGTTTTATTGATTGGGTTTACATCTACTTTAAGAATCATTCTAAGAAAACCAATGTGAGAGATAATAAGCATGACAGGGGCAGGTCAGAGTAAAGACCTTTGTTGAAGGGCTTTTGTTCACTACAGAACTTGCTTATTTCTCATACAAGTCAACGGGAATGCAAGAGCGACTTGTCAATGAACTTAAATTATCTTACAAGTGTCTCACATCAATCCCAAGTACACCTAACAGCAGGCTGCATTTGCCATTTGACACAAGCCCATAGCCTGTAAACTCAGACCCATAGCCAGTAAAGAACATATTATGCAGATCGCCAAAAATGCATCCACCATTATACTACTGATTTCCAACATTTTTATTGACAGGAAGCCAATGCTTTGCAAGCTCAGCTGGGTGCCAGGGTCAGTGTGGAAGTGGATGCTGCTCCATCGGCTGATATGAATAGAGCCTTATCTGAAATTAGAGAGCAGTATGAAAACCTAATGGAACAGAATCTGAGAGAGGTGGAAACTATTTTCCGACAAAGGGTAAGTCTTTTGTAGACTAAAACAGCTTGTTAAAACTGATAGAAAAATAGCATGTTCATTAGGCACTATTATGTCATGATTTTGTTCTATTAAAGTCTTTCAATTCTTTTGTTTAATAGCGCTCCCATCCCAAACTCCCCTTCACACTGAAGATCAGGGCCACGACTTTCATGCAGAGCTCACCAGAGATCTGCAATAGCCCCTGCAGGGAGCATGAACATATTGACTGGAGCACAGTACAGTTGGGCTTTAAGGCTAGAATTGCACAAATCCACTTATTAAGACTTACTATATTTATAAATTAAGAATATGTTTTCACAAGATCAAAACTGAAATTTCTTTTGCTTCCTATATAAAAGCCTTATAGAAATCATACTCCATATATTAAAGGGTACATGACTCTAACCAGCTTTCTAATTATATAGACTGAGGAACTGAATCGTGATGTTGCTTCTGGTTCTGAACAACTCCAATCTGTACAGACCGAAAATATTGACTTGAAGCGCACCGTTCAAACCCTGGAGATCGAACTGCAGAGCCAGCTGAGCATGGTAAGTATTATTACCAGCCAACTAATAAGGTTTGCATCAAGGTCAAGTTGCTTCAGTTCATTTGCAAAACTATCACTATTTACTTATATATTGTAATTACTTGTTATTTTGTGTACAATCTTTCTCTTTCCTTTCTCAGAAATCTGCTATGGAGAACACCTTGGCAGAGACAGAAGCTGCATTTGGAGCCCAACTTGCCCAGTTACAATGTTTGATCAACAGTGTAGAGTCCCAGCTGGCACAGGTACGCTCTGACCTGGAACGTCAGAACCAGGAATACAGGATCCTAATGGACCAAAAGACACACCTGGAGATGGAGATCGCCACCTATAAGCGCCTATTGGACGGTCATGATATCCAGTATGTATTTCATAGAAGACAAGCAAGTAAACAAATATTCTGTCAAATATGCAGTTCTCAATGTATAGCAATACCTATTCACCTTATATCTTAAAAAGGAAAGAAATAATGCTTATATCTCAACGTGTTTGATCTATAATTCAGCAATCAGATCAGGTTCAGAACACCAAAATACAGATATAAACTTAGGACCAAACAGTCCATCAAATTTGCCCATTTTGTTTATCAATATTTTAGAAAACCCAACCTATTTAGAATATAATGTATATTTTCATTAATCTCTACTGTGTTTTTTTATTTTTAGCACTTCAAGTCATACATTTCTAGGAGGCAGTGATGGTACGTAAACTTATATTGACTTAAGTGGCAGTGCAACAGCTGTTAGAAAAATTTGCAGAATGTAAAATATAAGACAAATTCAAACTATTGGCTGAGCATTAGTGGCATTTAGACACAGCAGCATTATGGGCAGGGCTATGTCTATTGACACCCTGTAGCAAATCCCTTTAAAGGCCCCTGGCCTGGTCTCTTTGATCTCCATCAAACTGTCATTCAGCTTTCAGCAGTCATACATTTTGTTATGTACTATGGGAGAAACAGCATTCAGAGAGACAATATTATGACTGATTCAATAGCAACATGGCTGCTCCCTCTCTACCATTTGCAAATGGCAGGCTTTGGTCCTTGGTTTCTTTCCAAAAAAGGTTGGGTGCTTTTATAAAACTACAAAACATAAAAGACTTACTACATTTTCAAATACCATACATATTCTTGTACATAGTAGAATGTCTGTTCGGGACAGCCTTCCCCCACTTAAAAAAAAAAAAAATACATTACAAATCTTAGTATATCTCATCTTAGTCAATAAGCATGATCAGTACCTTGTAGAGATGATAATAAAAATAAGATTAAAGTCATACCTAGGATAATCTTAAACCATAAGATTGTGTCACCCCTGGCATTTGTGATCAGTGTAAAAATGTTTCTTATGTTGGTGGGTCAGTCAAAAAGTCACCCTTATACGTTGGTGATCAATGAGAAGGACCCCCTACGTAGTTAGTTGGTAGTCAGTGGGTGAGTGCCCTCATACATTGGTGTCAATAGAAGAAGCCCCATAAATTGTAGTTCCCTTTAAGCTGGTGGTCTTTCAGAAGAATGCCCACCTGTCAGAGATCAAATATCCAGCTTGTTTAACTGTTCTGACTGTTATCCCATATTCCGTCAGTTATGTTTCCCTCATTTAGTGTGCCAGTAGCAGCGGTTTTTGCAGACAGAAAGTCTAACACTTATCCATTCTTCAGAGAGCGAAAAAAGAAGGTTATGACTCGACATACATTTTAAAGAGATTATTGAGGTTTGTGGTTACTTGCCTGAGAAAATTAAGTAGAGGTTCCAGTGGTGCCACTCCAGTGTCTCTGCTGAGTAATGTTGGCTCTAGAATTATGCATATACCTTCAGAAGGGGGGGATTGATCTCCCACTGCTTGTGGAACCTCTTGCCACCTCAGGAGGAATCCTGGGTGCAAAGTCTCACTAATCCAATTTTCTAGGGCTTAGGAAGAAAATTGGACCATACATAATACATTCTTCTAATATCCTCTCCCTTTCTGTCTTTTGCAGGGAGATGGGTACTGGTGCAGGTTCAGGGCTCCGAGGATATGTTTAATATTTAACCTCATTGGATATGTATTTTTTTCAATCTGACTAATTATATAACAATATTAATAATAATATTCGGAATCTGGAGAAAAGATTTATAAATACATAGATAATTTGCAGTCCTTGCAATTTGCAGGAGTATTACCCTGTCTCCAGAAGTATTTTGGTGTCTTTCTCTGTTTTCTTCTTATGCAGCCTTCGGGATCTTCTTCATCTAGGCAAAACTTGGCAAGGGACAAGGTCCACCAAGATCCATACACAGTAGACACATGTGAAATTATGCAAGGTTATGGATTAGTTAGGGACATGCTCATCTCTATAGGTTGGTGATAAACTATTGAAGTTATTCACACGATTTCAACACGTTGATCTACGAGTTATAGAAGTTCTTACACCTGCTTTAGAGCACACGGCAGCACACCATGATGTTCAAAACGTCATTAATTTTGGATGGCAGCCCAATGTATGTTAATGAGGCACCTGCTTTAGAGCACACCGCAACACAAAAGGATATGGTGTGCACTATGTGCACTACAGTTTGCTGAAGAAAAATAGAGCACGTGCAATTTTTATTGCTTTGAGGGCCCATTCAAAAGAAATGAGCTGCGGTAATACAGATTCTGTTTGCTCCAGTTTTGATAAATTCCCCCCAGTGTGTCACAATGCACAATAAAGTGTGAGTGTGAATGAGCCTTATAGCACACAAAGTTGCAAGACAGTTTGCTTCACTCAGATGGTGTAGTCTTGCTTCACTCAGATGGTGTGACATAATGGGGGTTATTTACTAACCTAAACACACACACACACCAGGTGTGTGTGATTTTCACACAGCAAAACGTATTTATCAACCAAAAAGTCTCTAAAGCATATTTCCACTAATGCCATATATGGAAAAATATGTATGTGGGTCGCATTCTTTCACAACACCATATATCCTAATAACTAAAAAAATGTTTGAGATATAATTTCCCTCACACTCTATTTGGTTCTTCTTGATTAATTCTATATGAAATTTATTATCATATAGTCTTCCTGATGGTATTATACAACACTGCAACTGGGTATAATTACTCAGGGATAAGTTACATCCTAAATGATTGGTAATAAAAGCACATATACTGATGAGAAAATGACCCTGATTTACTCGATATATTGGTGAGTCATTACCTTGAGTAATTTTAAGTACCCAACAAGCCTGATTAGCTTGAAATGTGAAGTTATACTATTGTCTACTTTTAGAGATATTTGGCCATGCATGAAAAATGCTGACATATCTAATAAAGGTTATTGGTATTCCTGGTGTTAAGAGGATTGCTCTTTTCTATATGGAACAGTGATTCATCCTTAGGCCTGCATCCTAAAAGACAGCCACACCCTTCATACATACACAGTGCTGGTCCATATTATGACAAAGATTATTACAATTAATGTAAACGAAATGCAGATGTGTTTAAATGGAGCCAGTGGATCCAGAAGAAACATTATGACCATGATGTATAAGTTCCTTCTCCATTTGCTGTCCCTTAGGGGCTAACTTCACCCTTGAAGCATGGATCCAAACTGGGAATTCCTCAGTTAGGATGGCTGTTCTTGTGACCGCCACCACTGTTGTAGGCTTTCCGTACAGCGGGTCCGGAGTTCGGTGCCAGTGGAGCGCCTTCACTAATACCACATCTCTGGGCTTAAAGGGATAAGTAGGTTGTTCTGACGGTAAAGGTAAACAGAGAGAGACATCACCATATATGCTGTTACATTTCTCAATTAATTGTTTCACATATGTCTCCTGGATCTGCTGCAAGTCAATTAAAATTGGTGGACCTCTAGTCCTAGGTGTGTGGAAAGGTCTTCTTCTTTAAAATTTCAAAGGGTGACATTTCATTAGTTTTTCAGGAGACACTCTAGTGTCAGCCAACATGGCTGGCAAGTAATCTGGCCATTTAGCAAATGACCCACCCGTGCCTTTTCTTAACTTGTCCTTAATAGCTCTATTCATCCTCTGTACAATCCCTGAGCTCTGTGGGTGATATGGGATGTGAAATTTCCAGTCAATGCACAACTTGACTACATTTTGCTACATCTGTGAGACAAAAGCTGGACCTATCTGGGCACCCAACCTTGTTATAATTTTCTTACACAATATTTTAGCCACTGTTCGGGCATCCTCTCGGGTGGTGGGGAATGCTTCAACCCATTTGCTAAACTTATCCACAATTTACCAAAAAATACATACAACCTCCTCTGGCTACAGGCATGTGTGTAAAATCTATCTGCAATTCCTAAGAAGGGGGACTAGATGCTGGTAAGTAATCTAATTTACCTATCCTTTTCCCTTGGACGTTATTTGTTATACATGTTAAACATCTGGACAATTGATCCTGAACCATAGCCTCTAGCTCTTTTATACAAAAATATTGTTTTAATGATTGCAATGTAAGTTTCCTCCACTTATGTCCAAAACCATGGAACTGTGCTATAAACAAAGGGGCCGATGTTTTGGGGATACCTATGATCCCTCCTTTGGACCACAGACTACACTTCTCTGGGGTCAATCCCTGTGAGTCCCAGAATTGCTTATCGTCGTCTTGTGCCATGCTTTGCAATTCCTGCAGCAATTAATCATCTGCCAACATGAGAGGTGTCATTACTGCAAAACTGGAAATAGAATCCAAAAGAGGCTGCAAAGCAGCCTGCTTGGATACCTGATCAGCAAAATGATTGCACTTTGCCACAGGATCATCAGATACCATATGTCCCCTACATTTTTAGCAGCTATGCGGGAAGGCTTTTGAATAGCATTTAGCAAATCAGTAATAAGTGTACAATGTGAAATGGACTTCCCATCTGCGGCAACATAACCCCTGCGCTGCCATATAAGCCAGAAGTCATGTATAATCCCAAAAGCATATTTAGAATCAGTATAGACATTGACATTCTGTCCTTCGAAAAGATAACATGCTCTAGTAAAATGAATTCTGCGGCCTGTGCAGATGCGTGTGGTGATGGGCCAGCCTCATGTTCAATATCTGTGAGTTGAAATGCTGCATATCCTGTGTGAGATTTAGCTTTCAATGGTAGCACATTACTGACGGAGTCCACTCGCTTACCACGTCTTTTAAAGGACCTATTTGCCCACTTTTTTAAAAAAACAATATATAAGTCCACACAGGTGTTTCCCTCGCAGGGGGTCTTCAAACACAGTACAGCAAATAATGTTTGTCCAAGTCTCACCGACTCCAGGTTGTCACACATACTCCATGTGTAAACGGCTCTCTCAGCCTCCTTGGCTGTCTTCCTGTGCCTCTAGCACACACAGCCACCTGGCTCCCCTCTGCCTTCTGGGTGGAGTCCTCCTGACTCCTGAACATCCCTTTTCCTCTTCCCAGCTGAAGCCCAGAACACTAGCCAGCACACTTCCCACAAGTGCTGTGCACATGTGTGCAATTAGGTGCTGGCCACTACTAAACAATGGACCCAGAAATGGAGATTTCATCCCTCCCAATTCTCTTAGAAATCTCCCAGTTCCAGGATCCCATGCCAAATCCAGAAATCCTGGGAAGAGCCACAAAGTCAGCTCTTTCCCAGTACAAGAACTTGCCTCCTGGAACCCTCCTGGAGTGCTGGGTGACTACAACCCCCAGTTCTACCATGGGATTGCCACACAATACCACACCTGTCAAGTATGTAAAGTCATTCGAGCGGAAATAGGAGCCGTCTAAAAAAATGTCTAGGGCACCTGGGCACACATAATAAACTTATCAATATGCTCCCCCTTTCCCTCTCAAGCCCCCAGCACACATAATAAACTTCCCCCTCCCAAGCCCCCAGCACACATACTAATAAAGCTCCCACCCTCCTTTCCTTCCAAGCCCCCTCACCTGCTTTCATCTTTGCAGCGAGGAGGCACATCATCAGTCCCTGGTGATTAGTAAGGTCTAGTGCAGACCTCACTAATCATCCATTATTCGGCCAGAGCTCAGAACTGACAGAGCTCTGGCCGGAGCTGACAAGAGCAGTTCTGTGGTCTGCAACCGACACAGATGCAGACCGTGTAGCTGCTCCCACAAGTCAGGCACGCGGTCCGTGACTGTGTGCCTGACTTGCCAGTTGGCTGCGGGCCACATAGTACCGGCTTGTGGGATGGTACTTTGACACCGCTGCCCTAGAGTGTATGCTGCATGCATCCTTTTAGACCCCAAGTGCAGAACTTTACATTTATCAACATTAAACCTAATTTGCCGAATAGATGACCAATCACACAGTGCATTCAGATCTGCTTGTAGGTTGGAGACATCCTGTAAGGACTGTATTCCACTACATAACTTGGTGTCATCTGCAAACACAGAAATAGTACTTTTAATCCCCAGCTTTATGTCATTTATAAATAGATTAAACAGTAAGGGGCCCAACACTGAACCTTGGGAGACACCACTAACAACCTCAGACCATTCAGAGTATGAATCATTAATCACCACTCTCTGAATACAGTGTTTAAGCCAGTTTTCTATCCAATTACAGGTGCCATTATATTACTTGCAGTGTGGACTTAATCTAGCTTTGCAATCTTTTTGGGGGGCTGCTGTTTGCTTTGGTATTGTATTCTGTTCTTTGTAACACGATTTGCCTGCAAAAATTCTTCCTCACCAAAATGTATGGAATAGAGAAATACTATTATGACAGATAAATAGCATTTAGCAGATGGTAAATGCAAAGGCTACCTAAATAGATATACACTGAAAATAATGTTTAGGTAGGAATTCACACTCTTTCACTGTTGGTACATTTGCAACCCTCAAACTGAAAAGAAAATGTAATGCTTTGTGTCAAGTTTAAGATCATCTGCATAATGTGATTAACGTTTTTAATATGATTACAATATAGCATTTTTGAATGTTTTATTTGAGGTGTGTTCAGCCAAGTCAAGCATCTTTTCCTTTAATGATATACTGTTAGAGTGGGGTGTGCAAAAGTTTCTAATGAGCTGGCCAGCAATAAATTAATTATTTTGAAGTTGTTTTACAGTTGTCTAATGTTTTCCAAGCAGATTACCAAATCTTTCATGTTAAATCCTCATGCCAAGCATGTAAAGCATTGGATAGATGAGCAGTCAGACACTGTAAACATTAATATTAACAATTAATCTTTGATGGCACTCCCAGTCTTCCATATATAAAGGAGCAGAATTGACGGAGAACATATTGTGAACAACATCCAACGAGAAAAGTACTATTTATCTTTAGCTCTACTGTACCACTTACATCTGTGTTATCATGATTTACAGTGGTCAATCCTCTGCTGGATCCTCTCATGGAAAATGCCATATTGGTAGCCATCTTTCTAAGACCTCAAGTCACTATGGTGCTTGTCATGGAGGATCCTCAAGTAGCCATCATGGAGGAACCCACTTATCTCGTGCATCTCATCATGGAGGATCACACATTTCCCTCCATGGAGGTTCCCATACTTCTCATCATGAAGGCTCCCACAGATTCCACTGCGGAGGTTCTCATAATACTCATCATTCTTCCAATGCCACCCACCATGGAAGTTCCCATAAAGTCCATCATGGCAATCACTATAGAGCCCCCAGTGTACATGGAGGGTCAGGAGGTAAAGGAATCTCCATCTCCAAGCATGCTCATGGAAGTGCTCACAGCAGCGGCCATGGAAGCAATTTTAGCCATCATGCTTTGTTTACCGTCAATGGGAAGGAAACCATGCAGCACCTGAATGATCGCTTGGCTTCCTACTTGGACAAAGTCCGCTCTCTGGAGCAAGAGAATGCCCAGCTTGAGAGAAATATCCAGGAGTGGTATGAGAGGAATCAGCCCAGTGCTTTACCCAACTTCAACAGCTTCTTCAGGATTATTCAAGAGCTTCAAGGCCAGGTAAATACATTATTTCCTCTACATAAGTATGATAGAAATTAGGAAATAATTTTGACTGCAGAAATAATTTTTTTAACGTGAACACCAGATTTAAACATATATTGTATTAATTATATACAGCATTATAGATATCCACATATTTACAATATAAAAACAGCTTAGCTTTTTAAAATATCCAGTCAAATTTGCTGTCCTTGGAGAGCTGCATAGGGATAATCAAGAGTCTAGCTACTTTGCATTTCCTTGTGTTATATATAAAGTTGTTAGCAGACACATGCAGTTATAGAGGTACTTACATACTGGGTTACATCAAAGGAGGGATCAATACATTTTCTTGGGAAGTGTTGATGAATGCCTGCCAAAATTCCAGGTTGTGTTTTCACCAATCTTAGACTTTTCCCATTTTTTTGCATTCCAATATGTCATATCTAGTCTGTTGCAATCCAACAGGTTGGATGTGACTTCATCATAATATCTTCATCAGGAGTGCCGATTTGGGAATACGTATAAGAGCTCAAGACACTTTTTAGCATTTGCAAATATCAGTATAATTATTTAAGTAGACTGACCCTTTAAATCAAACCTACACTTTGATCATTCAAAATAAAGCAACAGGATTTATGCAATCCCCCTTCACAGCATGTACTTACTTTCCTTCTCTTCCCTGCTTTAGCATTCCATGCTGGGGGTCAAAAATATACCCCTTACTTTCTGGTATGGAGGAGCCCTCCTTCAAAGCCCTGTCCTGGGAGTGTCTAATTACTGCCTGTGCTTGCCAAACTCCTCTGCCCTTCCCTACATAACATTTT